GTCAAAATCACACTGATGGGCCAGTGAGGTGGCTCAGCAGGTAAAGGCACTTGCTATGCAAGCCTGACAACCCGAGTTCCGTCCCCAGAACCTATGTGTGCTAACTTCCTTTCTATTACTGTGATAAAACACTCGGATTAAAAACGAATTAGAGAGCCAGGCGTGGCAGCACACGCCTTTAATCCCAGCACTTGGGAGGCAGAGGCAGGCGGATCTCTGTGAGTTCAAGACCAGCCTGGTCTACATAGTGAGTTCCAGGACAGCTGGGGCTACAGGGAGACCCTGTCTCAAAAAGACTGAAAAAAAAATCAAATTAGGGAAGGAAAGGGTTTCTTTGGCTTACACTTCCGGTCACAGTCCATCAAGGAGGGACATCAGGGCAGACAGTCAGGCAGGAACCAGGGAGGAATACTGCTTTCTGGCTCATTCTCTGCCAGCTTTCTTATAACTCAGGCCCACCTGCCTAGGGTAGGTGCCGCCCACAGTGGGCTAAGCCCTCCACATCAGTCATCAATCAAGACACTCCCCACAGACATGCCCACGGGCCAGTCTGATTGGGGAAACCCCTCAATTAAGGTCCATTCTTCCCAGGTGACTCTAGGCTGTGCCAAATTGACAATTACAGCTAACCACGGATGCCACCGAAAGGCTAAAGGAGAGCACCAACTCCACAAAGTTGTCCTCTGACCTCCATTCATGCACTATGGCCCTTTCTCCTGCATGTGTGCACACACATGTATACACGCACAGACACACACACCGTGAATACACCCATAATAATACATTTAAAAATTCAAGTCCGGGCGTGGTGGCGCACGCCTGTAGTCCAAGCACTTGGGAGGCAGAGGCAGGCAGATCTCTATGAGTTTGAGGCCAGCCTGGTCTACAAAGTGAGTTCCAGGACAGCTGGGGCTACAGGGAGATCCTGCTTCAAAAAGACCAAAAAAAAAAAAAAAATTCAAATCCCCAAGTCCTTCTATCCAGGACTCTGATGGCTGCCTTCTTAACGCCCTCCTTGAATGTGTCTGCACAGCCTGTGCACATGTCTGGGGACACCAGCCCACACACTGGCTATCACAATGCATCATGGACTCTTTAGTGCCATTTTATGATTTTGGGCTTGGTGTTGGGGATTGAAGGCCTGTCACTTCTAGGCAAGAGCTTGACTGATCACTGAGCTACAGCCCCAGGCACCATTTTAAATGATGATCATGATGATGATGATGGTTTGGTTTTTGAGACAGGGTCTCCCTGTAGCCCTAACTGACCTAGAACTCACTACACAGACCAGCCTGGCCTTGATCCCAAATACATCTGCCTGCCTCTGCCTCCCTAGTGCTGGGCTTAAAGATGTGTACCACTACACTCAGCTTTATTTTTTTATTATTTTTAAATTTTATTTATTATTTTTATTTTATATGTATTTGTGTATTGCCTGCATGTGGGTAAGTGTACCCGTGTCGTGCAATGCCTGCGGAGGTCAGAAGAGGCCATCAGATCCCCTGGAACTGGAGTTATGGACAGTTGTTAGCTGCCATGTGGGTGCTGGGATTCGAACCCGGGTCTTCTGCAAGAACAACCAGTGTTCTTAACCACTGAGCCATCTCTCCAGCCCCCAGCTTTATTATTTTTAATACAGTATAATTTTGTTGCTGTTGTCTTTGGTTTGGACCTTGAACCCATGGTGATCTTCCTGCCTCAACCTCCCCAGTGCTGGCTGAATTACAGCTGTTTAGCACCACACCCAGCTGGTTCAGCACTGGCTTGGCATCTTTATATACTATTGTTTACTTAATGATGCCCCATAATTTAGAATTTCAAATCCTTCGATGTTTTACTTTTATGAATAAGGCTGCATTGAGCACTCTTGTCCTGGGAGGGTCTGTGGCCTGTTGTATGTCAGAAGAAACACCCAAAGTTGCTTCCTTCCAAACGCCCCCAGAATTTCCACAGTGCTTAGAACTTCCTCACCTTCACAGCCCTGAGCCTGGTCGCCTGTGTGCATGTGGGTGTGGGTGTGTGTATGCATATATGGTGATCTGATAGGTTGAAAATGACATCATTGTAGCTTTTATTTGCATTTCTTTGATTACTGTTAGAGCAAAACTTGTCTTCATATGTCAGCTACTTTTGGTAGATTTTCTTTGGTAACTAGTTGATTTTCTGTTTAGCTTACCTTATTGTTTTGCAAGATCTCTTTGTATATTAAGGATATGACTCATTTCTGACAGTTCCACAATCACTAATTTCTTTCCCCTCAGTCCCTTCTTCCCTCTCTCCCTCCCTCTCTTCCTTTCTCTCTCTTCCTTCCTTCCTTTCTTCTTTCCTTTTGTTCCTGAGTTTTCAAAGTCCCCCGCGCATCCGGAAATGGCTTTGGTGACAAGCCGTTTCACATCACCCTGTTCCTGCCCTGTGTGTGTGCAGCCTCTGCCCACCCCAGGTCATTAACCCTCTTTTCCCGCTGACGGCAGATGCCTTCCCAGCTGGGAATTTCATTTTCACCTTCTGGCTGGCTCTGGGATGGGGACTGTTTACATAAGAAATGATTTGATTATACTGTGCGGCCAATGGCGGCCCTTCTCAGAACAGAGGAGCCTGAACATGTAATCAAAGCCATTAACTGCACACAAAGCCTCCAGCCCACTCCGAGTTTCCCACCAGCCATAATGACAGTTTTCCAGGGAAAAATAAAAGCAGGGTTATGGCCTCCTGCTAAAAACGTGTTAAGACTTTTAAAAGGAGGCTGCGGCTTCAGCCTCATCGTCCTGAAACCCCAGCTCACTACTTCACTGACCTCGGGACAATCCTGCCACCGCCCAGGGTCTCGACCTTCCAGGTCCATCCAGAATGCTCAGAAAAGAACCCCTGATTGGCCATGCACTCTGATGGACTGGTGTTCATAATTGCATCTGACAGGATCACTTCAGTTTGGGGGTGTGATGACATCACCAAGGTCTTCCCGTCTTTCCTGCTCTCACGCCCGGCATGTTCTGGATGTTACTCCTCACGGTTTTGAGGCGGCTGCTGCAGCTCCAGGCATCACCCAGCAAAGGTGAGGTGAGTATTTCCTCACAGGAGTCTCCTCTGATGGGCCACACTCCCCCAGAGTGTGGCTTCTTTCTGGCTAAGAGCACAGGCTCATTTCCAATCAGTCACCGATGGGAAGAGAGATGTTTCCAAACAGTTACATCTACAGCGATTGGCTTGTTGGGGGGCGGGGCTGCTTTCCCCAGGATGCGCAGGGGACAGAGCGGAGCACACAGGGGAGCACCACAGGGAAAGGGGACATGGAAGAAATGAGGAGCCACTGCTTAGCAAGCTCCTGCAAGATAAAACATTGTTTTGGAGGGAAACTCCTGAAGATTCAGAATATTCTAAAGGAGTGTGAAACAGTCCGTGCAGAAGGGAAGCTCCTTAAGTTCAGGAAGTAAACAGCTCAAATCTTCAGGAAGTACCTGAAACTGACTAGGTTCACTAGGTCCCTCCCTCCTCAAGCTTATATAAGCCCTAAGGACAGACTTAGCTGCCTGGAAGAGGCAGGCAGAGACCGACTGAGCTGCCCAAAGAGACGTTCTCTAACCTATCAAACTGCCTACAGGTTGCTCTGTGGGCTCTAGGGGTCCAGCTTTTGAGCAGTCACCCATGCTGTGGTGGGATAGTGTCACACAACAGGCCAGATATGGTCAGCTCCTGCCACTGTGGTCTGTGTAATACTCTACATGAGGGACCATGGGCCAGAGAGCCCCTCTGTGCTCCAGACCAGGATCTGCACCCCAGGCTTCTCCACGTGCACAGACCGCAGGAACCTCCAACCCTATTGGCTTGCACCTGCCCCTGGTCTGTTACTACAGTACCTGGGACAGTGGCTGGCAGCCCTGGAGACTTCCCACTGTCCGTACCCTTGGGCCTGCATCTCCATCTTACCCTCACCTTCCTTTAGGACCTCTGTGACCTCCCTGCCGTCTCTGGCCTCCACGGTCTGTGCTGCCTCGCTGCCCCCTCTGCTTGGCTCAGGGACGCTCCTCTGCCTCCATTTACTTCAGACCCCACAGCTGCTCATAGCCTCGTAGCCTCTCGATTGTTCTGGTCGGTGTGAGTGTACAACTCAATCCACCGAGCTGCAGACTCTGCCAGGCTTCGTCTTGGTGGTGCTGACCCTGGTGCTGGGGTGATGGGTAGAGGGAAGGGGTCAGGTCTTTTTGTCTTCTGAGTAGATGCAGGCTGGGGATGTGGCTTGGTTGGTAGAGTGCTTGTTGAGCATTCAAAATGTCCTGGGTTTGATCCTCAGCACTGTTCAACCAGGTGTGGTGGTGGATGTCAGCCCAGAGAAACAGAAGTTCAAAGTCATCCTTCACAGCCAGTTTGAGGGCCAGCCTGGGCTACATGAGACACTGTCAAAAAAAGAAGAAAGAAAAGAAGTGGATGGATCGGTCCCCTGCCCTGTAGGGTGAATAGTCTTTCCAAGAGGCAAACCTAACCACTTTCCCTCTGGCCTGGTCTCCATGGCCCCCTTTACCTCCAAGACAAAGTTCAAGGGCTTAAGTCTTTTTTCGAGGCTCACCTGTCCTTACTCCCTACATGCAGCCCCGTCTCTGCTCAGCTCCCACAGGCACCCCAAGAGCCCTGTGCTCTCTCTTCCCTGGACTCAGCTGTGTGCCTTGTGTTTTGGAAACTCTATTTGTGTGCTATCCAGAGGGAATACCAGACTGCAAGGAAAGAGAATGATTTTGAACTTGGCCTCAGAGTCCTAGGTGTCACATCTGTCAAAGGTTTGAAAGTGATTTCTATTGCAAATAGAAAAGGGTCAATAAAACCAGAAAAGGAAACAAACAATTTAACAGAACACAGTGACCGGAAAGAGAGCAGCTAGGGAAAACACATTATAACGAAGTCCGCTGTGATCCCACAATGGGACAGGGCCATCATTTTGTAGAAAGGTATTGGCCCTATACAGAGGGGGTCCCTTGGGTGAGGTTTCAACAGAGAGATTCTGACAGGAAGGAAAAAATGACTCTCCGGGACCACAAGTAGGGACTGCTGTAGATGACTTGAGCTAGTGGTGTGGTCCAGCTCCAGACTCATGCCATAGGGTGAGCCCAAAAGCCAGCTGCTGCAGAACCAGGCAACAAGCCCCAGGCAGCTCCTCCCCTCAGCACAAGACCCCCATTTTGAAACCATTACTTCCCCAGCCACACCCCATCCATGAGGGTGTCATACAGTGGCCGTCAGTGAGAGGAGAGACGAAATCCTTCAGGGCTCTGAGGAAGCCACGTGACACCTGGCATTGTCTCCCTCACCTTAGCCTTGTGCACACCCCAGGCTCCGGAGCAGCCCTCAAGGTGAGTCTGAAAATGATGCACTCAAGTCGGTCACTGGTGACACCCTGAGAGTGTCCCCTGCATACACAAACCTCTTTAGATCAGAGTCATGAGTGCTGTTTGCACAAGTCGCTGGTGTCTGCTGCCTTTTCTTTATAGCCCAATGCCGTCCCTACCAGATGACAGACACATGCGCCTGTGTCCCCGGCCCCCAGACAGAGTGCCATATGAGTGCCTGCTGTACAGGTAAGGACTTAAAAAAATCATTATTTATTTATTTATTTATTATTTGTTTATTCTGGGGGCTAGAGAGATGGCTCAGCCATTAAGGGCACTGGCTGCTCTTGCAGAAGACACAGGTTTGGTTCCCAGCCCCCGCATGGCAGCTAACAGCTGTCCATAACTCCAGTTCCAGGGGATGTGACTTCCTCTTCTGGGCTCCGAGGGCATTACATGTGGTGCACTTATGTACAGGCAGGCGAAACACTCATATACATTTAAAAAATCAGTTTAAGCCATATGTGAAGGCACATGCCTTTAATCCCAGCATTCCAGAGGCAGAGGCAGGAGGATCATAGTGAGTTCCAGGCGAGTTGGGGTTACAGGGAGACCCTGTCTCAAAAAGACCAAAAACATCCTTTTAAAAAAGATTTATTTATTGGGACTGGAGAGATGGCTCAGCAGTTAAGAACACTATCTGTTCTTGCAGAAGACCCAGGTTCAAATCCCAACACCCACATGGCAGCTAACAACTGTCCATAACTCCAGTTCCAGGGGATCCGACAGCCCCTTCTGTCCTCCTTGGGCATTGCATGACATGGGTGCACTTACCTACATGCAGGCATAACACTCATACACATAAAATAAAAATAATAAAAACTTTTAAAAAAAGATTTATTTAAAAAAATTATGTATATGTGCCTATGTGAGCTTATGTGCACCACATGAGTGCAGGTGCTCACAGGGGTCAGAAGAGGGCATCAGATCCCCTGGAGTTGGAGTTACAGTGGTTGTGAGCCACAATGTAGGTGCTGGGAACTGAACCCGGGTCCTCTGGAAGAACAACTAGTGCTCTTAACTACTGGACTATCTCTCCAGCTCCCACAGTTGAGTTGAAATCCCTGACCCACCAGCTCCCTCCTGGAAGCTACTTTCTGAATGTCCCTTCCACTTGGCCTTTGGCCCTCCGGACCCAGGCTCCCATGCCAAGGAGGGCATCTGAGCACTGAGGGTGAGCTGGGGTGGTGGCTTCAGAGGGAAGCATCAGCTCCTGGAGAAGCCTCAGGCCAGGAAGGAAGGCTGTGTCAGTACAGTTGGCCTCATCGGCAGTCCCTGTCCCTGTCCCCCAGTCCCTGTTCTCTAACCCTGACATGTGATGCCCCCACCCCCAGGCAGTGGCCTGACCACTGTCCTTCCTGCATGTCCTCTTCCCGGAAGCAGAGTCGGCTCCCTTTATCTCTGGCTGAAGTCCTGAGGGAGGAGAGGGAGGAATATCACCTGTTACCACCAGCTGATGAGTCACCTCCTGCTGCTGGGACCACAGCCTGCCTGACCACTGCCTCTGAGCGCCCCACGGAGGGTTGGGGAGGAGGAGGCTCTTGATACGAAGATGGACTGTGACATCCATCATTCCCCGGATGCACCCTGGCCACGGGGGGTTGAGGACAAGACCCTGAGGTCAGAGTCTGGCTCTCATACTCTCACCTGGCAACCTGGGTAGCTGTGTCCCCTTCCTCATGCCCAATCACACATCCATACACGCGTTGCTCCTGGTGATCAGGTACAGGTCCTGATCAGGTACAGGCTGTGAGGGCCACAAGGGGTACCTGAAGCCATCCTGCCCTAGGGAGGTGGCAGGGGGCCATGCTGAGAGCTGGAGTGGATAAGAAGCCGCCTGCCCACACCTGTGAATTGGCTTGAGGCGATGGGGTGATGTGGAACAGCGCCCATGAGGAGCACCTTAGCAATATAAAGGGGCCTCTGGGAAGCCCCTGGCTGCAGTTGCAATGGGCAAAGACCAGCAAGGGTGATGGTTATTTCTGGGAAGGGTCTGGAGAGGCCCCAGCATGTACATAGGTCCTGAGGCTGCACGAAGCTCAGCAGCCCTGGCAGGTGACAAAGTACAATAAACATCAGCTGGTCACCTGGCCTCGTGATCATCGCCACCCTCTCTACTGGTGACAAACAGGACTCTTGGAGTGCCTGAACAGTCGACTGGTCTGGTTTCCCGCTGAGGCTGTTGGAGAGCGCTGGACTAGCTGGACAAGGGTACTTCTCACCACTCATCAGAGAAGCTCCTTTTTGCAACAGATGGAGACTAACAGAGTTCTACAGCTGGTCAAACACAAAGACAAAGTGTCTGTGAGACGCTGAACCCTAAGGGACACATCTTCAGCGCAACCTCTACATGTAGGTTGAATGTATCTCTAACTCTTACCAGAGAGTTTTCCTTATACAGCAGATGGTGATTAACACAGAAATCCACAACCAGCCAATGTGCAGAGAACGAGAGGCTGCGGAGTGCTCGTCCCTGCACAAGACACCTATGTCAAACCTCTGCTTCCCAAGGCTTAGGGCTTATTGCGGAAGAGGAGGTGGAAAGATTGTAAGAGCCAGAGATGGTAGATGACCACAAGGAAACAGTTTTCCAGACAGATGGTCAGTTCCACATATGAACTCACAGCAATGGTGACAGCGTGCACAATGTCCCAGCAAGTTCAAACCAGACAAAATCCCAGCATAGACACGGGGAGGTGGATAAGAAGTCCCAACCCAATCTAAGGAACTTTTGGTAGCTGATGGCTGCTGGGAGGGGGGAAGACAGTCTCTTGGGATGGGGCTCTTGGTAGGTTGACCAGGCTCCAGTGGATGGACCCACGCTGAGGGACAATGGGGACACAAATTAGACTCTATAAACGGTTATATATATGTATATATATAAATATATGATAGAGTACATTAAATTTATCAGTGCACAGTAGGGGAGGTGTGGGGAGGGGAGAGAATCTAAATGCCATCAAATTTCATTGCATGAAAATCACAAAAATTAAAAAAAAAAAAGAGAGATCAGTCTGAGCTCTCCCAACTTGGACTCAACATCACCTGGATCTGAGCCTGTGTATGCCCGCCCTTGGTCTCAGCTCCCTGCACCCTGCTGCTGTTACGGGACTCTCTACTGACCAGGCCAGGGTGGGGCTTCCAGATGGGGAGATGGCCAGGAGAGAGAGAGGTGTGGTGGGGGGGGCACACGGTAGACCACTAGCCAAACTGGGCTTTTTCCTCTCCAGCCATATGGCTCTGGAGATCTGACTTGCCCTCCATGTGCCTCAGTTTCCCCAATAGAGGAAGGAGATGACACAGGTTGCTGAGGCCTGAACTGTCTGTTTGTGGGAAGTTCCAGGAACTTAGTAGGTACCTAAAAAACGCAGGCTGTAGCTCTTGCTTGGCCATCCCAGCTCATATCTCAGTTTTCTCCCCTGTCCAATGAGGCTGATGGCACAGCATGGCGGAAATGGAAAGCATGGGGAGCCTCAGATATTGGGGCTCACAGAGCCAAGACAACCATCCCAAATACCACATAAGCAGTCAGAGCAGAGAGGGCTGGACTGAGGACAGGCATCTGGGACGAGGGCACAGTCTCTCTGTGGCTCCCCTGTCTGGCTGTCTGAGGATAGGATGACAGTCCATGGCACATTCAAAAGAACACCAGGTCCAGGCCATGTGCTTGTGGGCATCAGCATTGTTGTGGATTCTCTGAGGGCACAGACATAAGGAGTTCCTGTGTTGGCCTCTCTAAAAGCAGGGTCTCTCCTTGCCTGTGCACCCTAGGGTGGGCAAGAGGATTGGGTCACAAAGTCTGGGTCCCATGTAGGATAGATAACTTTCTTCCTCTGAGGTACCAGGCAGGCCGTAAATGGGCTGATGTCAGCAGGGCAGCCGCCCACGATAGAAGGAAGTGGGTGCCCAGGGCAGTGCCAGCAGACATGGCCTGAGGCAGGCCAGTCAAGGTTGACGTGGGCACCGCACTGCCGCTGATGAGCCAGGCTGTGTGTGGAGGTCAGGTCAAGGGCACACAAGAATTAGGGTGGGTGCTGACAACGTGTGGTGTCCCACTGCTCAGGACTGCTCATGGGGCAGCGGTCTGCAGAGGGTGGACAGACATCCCAGGGGTGTGGCTGGGGGGGGAGCTGTCTGCCTCTGGATTGTGCAGTGTGGGGGAGGTGGGAAGGTGCTTGAGTTTGTGTGACGTGTGTGTATGTGTGTGTGTGTGTGTGTATGTGTGTCGGACAGGGCAGTGTGGACTGCTGAGTGTGCTGACATGTTTAGGCATGAGGTCTTGTATGTCCAGATGTGTTTGTGAAAAACTGGGTGTGTTTGTTTAATTGTGAGTGTGCTCATGTGTCCAAGTTTGGAGCTCTAGGAGAGCACAGGAGTGTGTGCCCGTGTGTGCAGCCACCTTGAGTGCCTCTGCAGTGCTGGAGCAAGCCCAAGGAGGCCAGAGCCGGACAGCCAGCAGGAGGTGAGGACCTCAGGAGCACCAGAGAGGCCTGGGCAGTGGGAGGGGCCGACACCAGAGCAGAGCGCCGACCAGTCTGCTGACAGACAGGCAAGAACAGGTGACAGGTGGGAACTCCAGGCTGCCTATGGCCTGGAGACCTTGGTGTCCCATGCCACCCCCCCCTCCCCGAAACCAGCAGCTTCTAAGAGGGCTGGATCCTGGATGGCTGGAGCTGCCTCCAGATGAAACCACCTAGGCCTGCTCTTGATTCAGTCAATGATAACAGCAAGCAAGCATTCACGGAGTGTTCCTTCACTCACTCATTTGTTCATCTACTCACCCATCAACTCATTCACATATTCATTCCCCTCCTCATTCACACATTCATTCCCCTCCTCATTCACACATTCATTCCCCTCCTCATTCACACATTCATTCCCCTCCTCATTCACACATTCATTCCCTTCCTCATTCACGAATTCATTCATTCCTGCACTCACTCAGCAGTACTTACTGAGCCACCCCCTGTGATCAACAGTTCCTGGTGTTAGGACTGCAGACCAGAGCAAGACAGATGGAAATCCCTCTACTGGGGACTCAGATGCTAGCAGAACCTGAGTGCAGCCATCAACCTGTGAGTGGGGGGAATTGGTGGTAAGTGCTGCAGATAAAAACAAAGCTGGACAAGTGGACTGAGAAATCAGGTGGGCCACTGTTTTCAGGAGTGACTAGCCAAGGTTTTAATGGGAAATGACATTTGAGTGGAAGAACTGAAGGTGGTAGGGGCACCATGTGGATGTAAGGGAAGACCATTCAAGCCAGGGGCATGGCAAGTGCAAAGGTCCTGTGGTGAGCCCAGGCCTGGTAGTTTCAGGAAGAGACAAGTTCAATGTAGGTTTAATAGTTTTTTGTTTTTTGTTTTTTTTTAAAAAAAGGATTATAAGAACAAACGGTAGAAAAATTTAAAAAGGAGAGGCTGCAAATCCTCAATAACTGGACTATGGGAAGGAGTGCCAGGCGGTCTGCTATTCAGTTCACCTGCCAAGCAAAGCCACTTTCTATTTTGACAAGGGCAGCGTCACCAGCTGGCAGCTCCCAGCCACCCGCCAGGAAGGCTCCCAACCCTCAAAGCAGTCCAAGCTGAGCCAGGCGGGCTGGAGGAGCTCACCCTGTCTTTGGGGTCCCTCCAGGTCCACAAGTCTTGAGGGAGTAGGGAGGGACGGGTGCCACAGTGAAGAGATGGCTAACTCTCAAAGCAGCCCCAGCATCCCGACATAGGCCACCTCCTCCTGCTCTTTATGAGCTGCGAAGGAGGCTCCTGTCTGCTTGCACAACTGCCCCTTAATTGCCGTTTCCTCTCAGTTATGTCATGAATCGGCCGCTCACGTTATTAAACTTCCCCGCCTTATCGTCTGGAGCTTGGCCAGCTGCTGGCTTGACCTAGTTTCCCACCCGGTTTCAAAATGCCTTCCTCGGCCTTAGGGCTTTTCCTAGGGAGAAGACTCTGCCCAGCTCCACGCTAAAAATAAAAACTAGACCGAGGGGGGTGCTGGGCCTTCAGGGCCCCACAGAAAATCCAAAGCCTGCGTGAGCAACCTTGGTTAGGGGATGGTGGCCAGGCCCTCCCTGCATAGAGTCTTCCTTGGGACGCCTGTCCCGTCCTGGGGACACAGGGTTCCTGCAGGGACAGGCTGTGATACCAGTCAGGCAGACCCAGAGCCCTCATTCTTGCTAGTAGATACAAGACTAACTTTGGAGAAGGGGAACTTGGGTTCAAATCCTGCCTCTGCCTCTGCCTGCTTGTTCATTCATTCATTCATTCACTCATCCTACTACTGCCTCTGACTGCCGCCTCCAGTGCTGGGTGCTAATCTGCCTAAGGCAGCAATAAAGTCAGTCCCCACCCTCACAGGAATCTGGAGGCAAAAGTGGGAATGACCCAAAAATTCTGAAATGAGGGTCTGCAGTGTAGAAAGCCCACTCCGTGGCTGGCATACTGCGAGCTAAGAAGGCCACCAAACCTCCTGGGGGAGCTAAGCCCCAGATGGTGAGCACAGGGGGCTGCCAGTGGGCAGGAAGTGGGGGGTGCTGGCTCTCAGCTTCTTCTTCAAGGACAAGCTGGCACCTGAGCCTCCTCTCACTTTTCACCCAGGCACCTCAACTGCTCAGCCTAGTCCTGGACCTCTCGGGAAGCAAAGGCATCTAAGTCGTTGGGCACATGTGCAAAGGTGGAAGTTGTGGATAGAGAGGTGAGGAAGAGTGGGAGACAAGCGAGTGCTCCCCCCACTTCTTTGAGAAAGGGAGGTGATAATCCAACCTCTGGCCAGATTGAGCGGGACCTGTGCTCCAGGGTCATGGTGGCTGTCAGGGGCTGGATCTTGACCCATGACTGTCCAGAAACGAAGCCTCCTGGCCAAGAGCCCTGGGACGCAGAGGCGGAAGTTTTTCTTCTGATTCTGCTCTGCATGAGGCTGTTTATCTAACTTGGCTGGGGCTGAGGGCTGGGCCTGCAAACACGCTCAGGACACAAACAGAATGTGCTCACAGAGGGAAGATTTGAAACATGTAAATTAGCAGAAATTGTTTAGGTGGGAGGGAGGGAGGGGAGAGAAAGGCAATGGGTCGGGGGGAAGGGCTGAGCATCTAAATAGTCCTGTGGACAG